CTGGTGTCACAATAGCGTGCATTTAAAACCAAAAAACTTTTTTCACTGTTATAGATTGAATAGCAGTTAGTTGTCTCAAAGCGGGTGTGTCAGCCCTACAGCGTGTACTCTGCCAACCTCTGCCAGTTCACAGTGCCACTCATATCTGGTGTCACAGTAGCTTGTACGCATAGTACCACTAATCGAAAAAAAAAAATGACAGGCAGAGGCAGACTACCCCGCAGGGGCCGTCATGGTCGTGGTGCTGTGATTCCCTTTTGCCCTAGAATAATGCCCAGTTTTCAGAGGCCAGGTACCCTGAACTTGAAAAGTTCTGAGGACATAGTTGACTGGCTAACACAGGAGACTTAATCTTCTACAGCTTCGGCTCGGAACCTTGACGCAACATCCTCCTCCAGCTTAGCTTCGGCACCTCTCAAGATACCACTCACCCGCCTGCCGCCACCACCAACACTAGCACCACAGCCGCTTCACTTGGTATGTCAGAGGAGTTATTTACACATCCGTTTGAAGAAATGAGTAATGCGCAACCATTATTGACAGAGGATGTAGATAACAGGGATATGTCTCAATCAGGCAGCATTACACATGTACGGTGTGATGATGATGATGTTGTACCCGCTGCTGCTTCCTTTGCTGAGTTGTCAGATAAAAGTGAAGCGGTTGATGATGACGATGCGTCCATGGATGTCACGTGGGTGCCCGCTCGGCAAGAAGAAGAACAGGGCGAAAGTTCAGATGGGGAGACAGAGGAGGAGGAGACGAGTTGGAAGCAGGGGGAGGTCGTCGCAAGGAGCTAGTGGCACAGTCAGACAGCATGCATCGACACCCGGGGTCAGCCCGACAGCACGCCAATCAACGCATGCTGTGTCCACCACCAGAATGCCGCCATTGCAGAGCTCAGCAGTGTGGAATTTTTTTTGTGTGTCTGCCTCTGACAACAGCGATGCCATTTGCAACCTGTGCCAAAATAAACTGAGTCGTGGGAAGTCCAACACCCACCTAGGTACAACTGCTTTGCGAAGGCACATGATCGCACTTTACAAACGACTATGGGATCAACACATGAGTACAAGCAGCACACAAACTCAAAGCCGCCATCCTCCTGGTCCAGCATCTTCAGCCACGTTAACCAGTGCTGTCCTCCTTGCCCCCTCTCAACCATCCGCCCCTCCGTCTCTCGCCTTGAGCAGTTCCTGCTCATCTGCCCACAGTCAGGTGTCTGTCAAGGACAGGTTTGAGAGTAAGAAGCCAATGTCAGAAAGTCACCCCCTTGCCCGGCGTCTGACAGCTGGCTTGTCTGTACTATTAGCCCGCCAGCTTTTACCATACAAGCTGGTGGAGTCTGAGGTGTTCAAAACATTTGTAGCTATTGGAACACCGCAGTGGAAGGTAACCGGACGAAATTTCTTTTCACAAAAGGCAATCCCCAACCTGTACTTGATTGTGCAAAAGGAAGTAATGGCATGTCTGGCACACAGTGTTGGGGCAAGGGTCCATCTGACCACTGATACCTGGTCTGCAAAGCATGGTCAGGGCAGGTATATCACCTACACTGCGCATTGGGTAAACCTGCTGACGGGTGCCAAGCATGGAATGCGTGTCTCTGCAGAGGAGTTGGTGACACCGCCACGACTTGCAGGCAGGCCTGCTGCCACCTCCTCTACTCCTCCTACTCCATCCTCTTCCATAACCTCCTCGGATGAGTCCTCTTCTGCTGCTGCGTCTTGCTCCACATCAACGGCACCCCCCCAGCTCCCCAGGTACTATTCCACATCCCGGATACGGCAGTGTCACGCCGTCTTGGGTTTGACTTGCTTGAAAGCAGAGAGTCACACCGCACAAGCACTCCTGTCCGCTCTGAACGCACAGGTGGAAAAGTGGCTAACTGCGCAGCAACTGGAGATCGGCAAAGTGGTTTGTGACAACGGAACAAATTTGTTGGGGGCATTGAAGTTGGGCAAGTTGACACATGTGCCATGCATGGCACATGTGTGTAATCTGATCGTACAACGCTTTGTGCATAAGTACACAGGCATACAGGACGTCCTGAAGCAGGCCAGGAAGGTGTGTGGCCATTTCAGGCGTTCCTACACGGCCATGGCGCACTTTGCCGATATCCAGCGGCGAAACAACATGCCAGTGATGTCCTGTAAGCCTGTGCACTTATGCACAAAGCGTTGTACGATGCCAGTGAGGCGCTTGATTTGCGACAGCCCGACACGTTGGAATTCAACACTCCTAATGTTCGACCACCTGCTCCAACAAGAAAAAGCCGTTAGTGAATATTTATATGACCGGGGTGCTAGGACAGCCTCTGGGGAGCTGGGAATTTTTTTGCAACGTTACTGGACGCTCATGCGCAATGCCTGTAGGCTCATGCGTTTTTTTTAGGAGGTGACAAACCTAGTCAGTCACACCGAAGGCACCATCAGCGACATCATACCATTTGTTTTCTTCCTGGAGCATGCCCTGCGAAGAGTGCTGGATCAGGCTGTAGATGAGCGTGAAGAGGAAGAGTTGTGGTCACCATCACCACCAGAACCAGCCTTATCAGCATTGCTTGCTGGACCTGCGGCAACGCTGGAAGAGGATTGTGAGGAAGAGGAGTCAGAGGAGGAATGTGGCTTTGAGGAGGAGGAGGAAGACCAACCACAACAGGCATCCCAGGGTACTCGTTGTCACCTCTCTGATACCCGTGGTGTTGTAAGTGGCTGGGGGGAAGAACATACCTTCATTGAGATCACTGAGGAGGAGGAACGGGAAATGAGTAGCTCGGCATCCAACCTTTCATGCTGTCGTGCCTGTTGAGGGACCCTCGTATAAAAAGGCTGAAGGAGAACGACCTGTTCTGGGTGTCCACGCTACTAGACCCCCGGTATAAGCAGAAAGTGGCTGAAATTTTACCAAATTACAACAAGTCGGAAAGGATGCAGCATTTGCTAAATAAATTAAAAAGTATGCTTTACACAGCGTATAAGGGTGATGTCACAGCACAACGGGAATCTAACAGGGGAAGAGGTGAAAGTAATCCTCCTCCTCCCACAACCACGCCGGCAAGGACAGGACGCTTTAAAGACGTGTTGTTGATGGAGGACATGCGGAGCTTTTTAAGTCCTACGAATCGCCACAGCCCTTCAGGATCCACCCTCAGAGAACGACTCGACCGACAGGTAGCAGACTACCTCGCCTTAACTGCAGATATTGACACTCTGAGGAGCGATGAACCCCTTCACTACTGGGTGTGCAGGCTTGACCTGTGGCCTGAGCTATCCCAATTTGCGATAGAACTTCTGGCCTGCCCCGCTTGTCCTGTCAGAAAGGACCTTCAGTGCAGCAGGAGGTATTGTCACTGAGAAAAAAAGTTGCCTAGGTCAAAAAAGTCTAGATTACCTCACCTTTATTAAGATGAATGAGGGATGGATCCCGACGGGACTGACAGTGGGCGATACATCCGACTAAAAAAGGCCTGATGAGATGAGCTGCCTTGGGCTAAAAATGGTCCACACGCTGCTGTATTTTAGCTCTGAATGCCGGTTGACTTGTGTGACTCATCCGCCACCAACTAGGGTTCAAGCCGCAATGTTTTAGGACAGTGCTCCCCAACCTTCTTATCGCCGCGGACCGGTAAACGTTTGATCCACGTACCGGTCCGCGGCCCGGGGATTGGGGAACACTGTTTTAGGGCACTTTCTGCCTGGGAAACAAACATCAATTCTTCTGGCAGCTGCTACAGCAGCGGCTGTAACAATACCTAATTTTTCAGGCATGTATACATGCCTAATTTTACGGGCCTCTGGTGCTGCACTGTGGTTTCAAAAACCAAACCAAAAAAAGGCACATAACAGGGATTAAACTGATAAGAATAATACTACTTAACACACCTTATAATAACGCAGAGAGAGGCAATGCAGAGAGAGGAGTCTGAAGAAGAGGAGTCAGAGGAGGAAGGTGGCTTTGAGGAGGTGGAAGACCAAACACAGCAGGCGTCCCAGGGGGCTTGTTGTCACCTTTCGAGGACCCTTGGTGTTGTACGTGGCTGGGTGGAGGAAAAGACCTTCAATGACATCAGTGAGGACAAGGAACGGGACATGGCTAGCTTGGTATCCAACCTTGTGCAAATGGGGAGTTTGCGGTTGTGCAAATGGACTGTTTGCGGTTGTTTGTGGTGCGTTAAACGTGGAGTTTGGTCTGTCACTGTGAAGCGGGCGTAACCCTTACACTACCTGATCGATACAACATCATACAGTAGGTCATTATTTTTATGGCCCCCACCCACCGCTCACGGGTGGGGGAAGGGGGGAGGACAGTAGGTCCCCCCTTATCCTTATTTACTGAATATTTTCCTGTATAACAGTGTTTGGCATTTAGTGAATATTCCCTATTCTGCTCTGTGTCAGTGTGTATCATGATCTCTGAAGACAGGTGTCAATCTATATCTGCCAAGTGACCCTATGTAGGAGAACAGTCTCTATTCTGCTCTGTGTCAGTGTGTATCATGGTCTCTGAGGACAGGTGTCAATCCATATCTGCCAAGTGACCCTATGTAGGAGGAACAGTCTCTATTCTGCTCTGTGTCAGTGTGTATCATGGTCTCTGAGGACAGGTGTCAATCCATATCTGCCAAGTGACCCTATGTAGGAGAACAGTCTCTATTCTGCTCTGTGTCGGTGTGTATCATGGTCTCTGAGGACAGGTGTCAATCCATATCTGCCAAGTGACCCTATGTAGGGGGAACAGTCTCTATTCTGCTCTGTGTCAGTGTGTATCATGGTCTCTGAGGACAGGTGTCAATCCATACCTGCCAAATGACCCTATGTAGGGGGAACAGTCCCTATTCTGCTCTGTGTCAGTGTGTATCAGGGATCCTTAGGACAGGTGTCAATCCATATCTACCAAGTGACCCTATGTAGGGGGAACAGTCTCTATTCTGCTCTGTGTCAGTGTGTATCATGGTCTCTGAGGACAGATGTCAATCCATATCTGCCAAGTGCCCTATGTAGGAGGAACAGTCCCTATTCTGCTCTGTGTCAGTGTGTATCAGGGATCCTTAGGACAGGTGTCAATCCATATCTGCCAAGTGACCCTATGTAGGGGGAACAGTCTCTATTCTGCTCTGTGTCAGTGTGTATCAGGGTCTCTGAGGACAGGTGTCAATCCATATGTCAAGGTTTCAATATGTCATATGTCAGGTGTCAATCCATATCCATTGTGATTTAGGAATGTTAGGTGATTTATGCCCTTTATGGATTAAGACCAGACTCTGCATCAACTGTGTAATTTTCCATGGGAGTTTTGCCATGGATCCCCCTCCGGCATGCCACAGTCCAGGTGTTAGTCCCCTTGAAACAACTTTTTCCATCACTATTGTGGCCAGAAAGAGTCCCTGTGTGTTTTAAAATTCGCCTGCCCATTGAAGTCTATGGCGGTTCGCCCGGTTCGCGAACATTTGCGGAAGTTCGTGTTCGCCGTTCGCGAACCGAAAATTTCGGGTTCGCGACATCACTATACTCTAGTACTTCTGCAGAAAAATACTTCGTACCTAGATATGACATTTTAAAACCGAGCTCTCCCTGAGTCTTTAATCGAAATAGACCAGCAGACTAAGTAAAAAAAACAACAAGCTTTTAACAATGGGATTAATTTTAAAAAAACTGAAACTGGCTCTAAAGAGATTGAACCATTTGAGAAACTTAATTACATTAACCTATTCAAACAAACTCTTGTCTTTTAAGAAAACAACTTCACAGTCTCAATACAACAAATACCCACAGATAGCAAAACACAAAACCACCACTTCTGCCTTTGTTTAAGTGCAGTGTGGGGGGATTTACAAATAAACAGAATGATTTAAAGGAAGGTATGGGAACTGGAAAATACTTGACTGTAACTTCAGCACAATGATAATTCCCAACCATATAACAATCTAACATAGGCACCTTTACTTCATAATATTTACCTCAAATACAAAATGTTCATTTTCTATTAAACACACTCCAGTGTAAAAATGGAAATGTTAGCCTGGCTAAACAATAGCCACCACACTGTATTAGCCCCAATACCTTTATCATGTAAACACAATGCTCCTACCCAGAATTCAATGGTTTAAACAAAAGATAACCAAAAAAAAAAACAGTTTGCTATTTAAACTGAGAATGCAGGGAAGCCACAAAATGTAACATCTAAAAACAATTACAATATATTCAGTTTAGTTCTAGTTAGTTGCAACAGGAGAGAGACAATACAGCACATGGGCTATTAAAACAAAATGGCCAAAACATCAATAGTACCAATGCAGTGCAACTATTCAATCTTCCCCTTTAATCACCCATACTTTAAAACTGTGCATAAACAAAATTAAACTATAAATGCTACAATTTGCAACAAAATACATTCTGTCAGTCACAATACACAAATTCAAAACAGTCAACAAAACACATATGTATATTTGTTGCAACAAAATGAATCCTATGCTATAAAGTCTCTTTCTCTTAGATTATGTATCAATATGGTAGTTATTGCGCCTCACAAACATTTGTTGTAGAAGTCTAAAATTCATGGTCGCCAAATGTGGTAAATTACCAAACTCTATAAATGATTATATATGTATACAAATATAAACTCTGGTCCGTCTACTTTAACAAATATTTATTCAGAGACAAAATAACAACAACATACAAATAATGACACACAATCTAACTAACTATACCACCACCACCAACAACAGCAACAACAACCTAACTAACAAGAACAACTACATCTT